GCTAGGTTGGTATTTTGAACATGCTCCTTTCATAATGAGTCTATTGTTTGCTTTATATTTTATTAGTCTTTGCACAGAATAATGGTAAATAGTATTTCTATCCGAGTATGTTCTGGAGTTGAATTAAATTCATGATGAACAAAAGGAATGAGCATCAGCTCTGATAATTATTAGGATCAGCTGAAGCAAGGAGGGGCTGGGTGCATTCAAAATGGTTCATCCCTGTCATTAACTGCAGAAACCAAGCAGTCTGTTCTCGAGCTCTAAATGCTTGGAAAACAACCCTCTTTGTTCTTTAACACTTTTCTCACTTAGCACCTGCTAAAAATAAAGAGGTACATGCTTTTTGCAGCACCTTTCTGCATTCCAATGTGTTCAGTGAGAAAGAGCAGAACTGGAAAGAATTAAAGCCAACATTTTGGGGAAAAAAAGGGTGCACATTTTGTCTCACACAGTTAGAATACAGACCACTTAAAGCAGGCTAAAACCTCCCAAGTTCCCCCTGCCTTCTTTTTTTTTCTTCACAAAATATGGTGACTGGCCATATATATGCAAGATATAAAAAGTAGAGAGCTGTGAGGCTAGGTATATAATTTAATTATAATTATTTCTTCATACTATTTATTTTCACAGTGGACTTTTCAGCACTAAAAATACGTATGTACATATAGTCATTTAAGATTTTCTGCTATGCCGGTGAAGACTCATTCTGTCAGAAAGCAAGAGAGACAAAGCTTATTCAACAAATCCCAACCTTTAAGCAACACTACAGAGTCAACTACTGTATAACTGTGAAACAGACAAATTACATTCCTTTTTTTGCCTAAAACCCTAAGGATGAAAAAAGTCAGGGGTAGCAGATGGAAAAGAGTAAACTGGCACTTTCAAGAATATTACAGAAATATTTTAAACCAACCAGGCTAAATTTAAATAAGACGACTTGTATCAATTTACATTAAATTTAGTATTGCTATAGCTTGCCTGTGAACATGCTCAAATCTCTAAATCTAAAATCGTGCTCATTCCAGCAGGAGTTGTTTTCAAGGGGATTTTAAGGGGACTGATCAATGAGTAAAGACAATAAAGGGTATCTCTGAGGAAAGGCTTCAGGAGTAAGAACCTACTGACGAGCCCTGGTTCCATCTGTGAGGTGTAAGGGCTTCTTACTTTTAACAAATGGAAACAATATTTTAATAGTTAAAACTAAAAAAGTCATGGAGGAATTGAATAAGTAATGCTCCAACTGCAAGGCTGATGGGGTCTGTTTGCTTTTTGATGTTCATCATGGAGAACTATTTGATATTGCAATGGGGACACATATACTCCCTCTTAGACCCAAGCTGGTCTTCATTGGACCTGAATGAAATTCTCCAAAAGCAGAAAGAGTTTGTGCTTGCAAATGTCTTGGTACTATAAGTAACAAAAAGAATATTATTAAACCTAACATTTAATTAAAAGAAATCACTGCTGGAAAATATTTTTTGACCCATGTTGTGCACTATGACTAAATTAATACTATGCTGTTAAAATATGATTCTTTCCGAAGTCTGAATGTACACTTAATTAAGTATGTCACAGAAAGCAGGTACGCCTTAATTAAAATTCCACATATAAAAGAAAAAACTGTTAATCTGACCATTCTGAAGGTATAAATGTCTACAAATGTCTTTGTACATTACAGGACTTTTTAGAACATGTAATTACATAACCACAAACCAAGAACTGCCAATTACGCTGTTTATGTGAATAGTTTCATTTGTTGCAAGCTAGAATAATCAGTGAATAGTTTGTATTTTGCAAAGCAGATAATTTCTAAGTCAGATCTCAGAACAATAAGGAAATTGATTCAAATCACTATTTGATTGTGTAACTCTACTCTCTGGATATTCTGCCTGTTTCTCCTTGCCTCTGCTAGGTAGAAGAAAGGACAAGAACCCTGCTTTAATCTAGATCTACTCTCTGCTTAACACGCTGAATCGTCTTATGTCAACAACCAGATACCTGTGATTTCTTAGCAAAATAATTAACCGTTTGATTTCTTACTAGACAGATATTCACTTCCTATGGACTACTACAAATGTGTACCTACGTAACATCTGGCTCAAGGATTTCTTGCAGCAGAGGTGAGGTTTTTTCTGTTTCTAGAGGAAAGGCCGTACATTCCAGGAAAGAAAAAGTCCAAATTCCAATCTTACTTAAACACATACATGGAAACATAGCACACAGAAAATGGAAAAAAAAAAAGACTGTGTCTTCTGATCGTGGGGGTGCGATGCTGGCACACCAACCATTACCACACAAGGTAATGCTAATGAATACAGAGAGTTATTTTTCAAAAATCCCATTCTGATAAACACATTACAAGTTGATAAACACATTACAACTTCCCATATGTTCTGACAAGCCTGAGGCAAATTGGTAATTCTTACTCATATTTTTGAATTTCATTTATTCTAACTAAAAGTATGTTTGGCAGAGAAATTTCAAATATCTTAGAAATAATTTTTTCCCTTCCTGTGGAGCTGGGATTTATTGATGGAATTTGTTCTTAGCAGTGGTTCACACAAAAGTCATCATTTACGGACACTGCCTGGAGACATGTTGGAGACTGTACATCAGAAAGATACATCATTGCTTTGTTTCAATTAATTATGTTTTCATTAATACAGTAAAGCAATCAACTATCAATTTAATTTTCTACTTTTAATTTGACATTTGCAACATTTATTTCAGAGTTCCTGAATTAAAGTTTAATTCCTTTTTGAAAACAAACAAACAGTCCCTTCCAAACCCCATTTATTCTATATATTCCTCAATGTATGTCCAGGGCAACTCACATTGTTTTTTCAGCTCACAGAGAAAGCGTAAGAGAGGCACCTAAAGCGTGAATCTCTTCCTCTAAAGCATTGATTAAAAGTCTTATCAAGACATCGATACAGATGTAGTACAAAATTAGTAGTACTATGAGTAAACCTGTTTGTTCTGTTTACTCACATGATATTATAAAGATGATACGAAGACCTACAGTACTACCCAAGCAGTTTACTAATTTGGAGGTTGTCCTTATATCTGCCAGGGTTTGCAGAGGTGGAAACTGAATAATTCCCTCCGTATGCATTCATTCATTTTTAGCACATCATAATCAGCCAAGTCTCTTTCTGTCTCTGTCTAGTTAAACATTAAATACTGAACTCCTACCTACACCACAAGTGATGAATTACATTTTTTTAAACTATTACTACAAATAGTAACATGCATCTGGTTCCAATGCTTTTTTCTTTCTCCTTTCTATCAGTCTGAGCCTGTTTGAAATACTGTTGTGCAGTGGAGCACCAACCATAGGGACAGAAGGGATCACCCGAGGACTGAGGGAATATGGACTCTTTGAATCCATACATCAGGTATTAAAAAGATAATTGACAGCCTCCTGGTATAAATCAAATTCTTGAACACTTTGTCTCTGCTTTCTTCATATGAGAGTCAATCAGAGTATATGGATGTTTACTATGAGGTTAATCACTAGACAGTAATTGCCTGTCTGTACTGATCAAATAAATCAATTCCATACAAAAGAAGAATTATTAAGAGATCCTGGATTTTAAGCTTAAATAAATATGATTGATTACTTGAATTCTCTCAAAACAACATAAACAATATGATTTCCAGACTAAGCTACTACAGAAAATTACAAACCATAATTCACTATAATTTGTGATAACGCAGAGGGCAAATGGGATACATCAAAATAGAAAGCAAACTTTTCACCATAAAAGGAAACTTGCAATTCAGCCTAATGCACAACATAAGTGCTGTTACTAATTGTTGGTGTGCAATATATTTATATATTGGATACTAAAAAGGAACAAGAAAAGCCCACAAAACTCCTTTTCTAAGATTTGTTTCTCGGTTTATTAGGTATTTTGAAGGTGCAAGAACTTATATATGCAAGCATCTTTTATCAGACATATGGATCTAGTTCACCTCCAGTTTGCCAGGAAAATCCTGTTTCTGCCTTCTTTTAGGGAATATACTGTGGAACTACGCTGTATTAGATAGATCATGATGTACTCCAATGTCATCCTATTATCCTAGAGGCTAAATTTCTACCTTAGGCGTATGTTCAGCTATACGCTTCACATGTTTGTAAAACAGAGGTTAGAGGTCTGGCGAGGAACTGGAAATTTAATGGAGCATTCTTCATACTGTTCTGCCGCTCCGGACATTACTGTTACAGTATATATTTTGTTTACATCTGTGATGCATTTTACATATTGATATGGTAGTTTTAAATGCAGATTATATTAAATGCATCTTCTTCAATTGCTGTTTCCTAAATTGTAGAGTTTAATTATGTTACATAATGACTCTGTGGAACTTGTTACTTCAAAACGTTTTTGAAGCCAAGAATAAATGGATTAAAAAAAAATAATCAGACTAATGGAAAATAGGTTATTTGGTAACCACAGCACATGACGACTGAGATCAGGAAGTTCTTGAACTATAAGCTACAGAAAGCTGGGAGAGAATACCAGAGGAAAAATGCTACCGACCTTCAGTGATGCGCTGCTCAAACACTAACCCCTCCGTACTTGTCACTCAGGTGCAATGGTCTCACTGGGCTACAGCTACTGCTGTGAGGTTGTAGCTACAGCTATTCTTATGTCCCAAGGTATTTAAGCACATGAAGAAGTGTGATAGACTTAATGATCTTTTTTTCTGTTAGAGTAGTGCTTGCCGAAGTTGCCCGTTCCTTGACCACATTTTCCATTCAAAACCAAGACCTACCCACAAGCTTTCGGAATAGACCAAAACTCAGCCTTCTTCAAAATGTTACACATACTACTGTGAAGTATTCAGGACAGCTTTAATGTATCAACCATTCATACCTAGGCACACAGCAAAGTGGTTTACGTAGCTATAGTGACTCAAATAACCACAACTCAAATCACAATATTCAATGTTTGTTCTAAATATGAGAGATAGCAAGAGCCTGTAATTACCTGTGACGGTTAATTCTGTAGTTCTTCTGACAACAAAGTATCCATATTTTAACTCGCAAGTGTAATTTCCAATGTCATCCTCTCTAACTTCCCGAATGACAAGGGTGTCCTTTTTAAACACAATACTCGATCTCCATGTCTTTGACTTGCATTCCTGTTCAAAGATAATATAACACGTCAGTGACTGTGTTCTTACACTGAAACTGGTCCACTGTTGACAGTGCTGCTCAAAGCCAAGGCAGCTAGAAAAAGTCTTTCGATTGACGGTCACAAAATATTTTACTTGATTATCTTAGCATACTCATTGTTTATACAGTAAGGGCTTTTTTAAAAAATATTAAAGTATAAGAGGTTGTTTGAGTTCATTCACACAAATGCTGTCAATGAGTCTTAAAAAGCCAATATTTTGAGCTCTTGTTTAAGAAGCTAGCCATAGTTTTAAATTTGATAAAACTTCAGGTATTGATTGTATTACAAACACAAAATCCAAGATGAGTGTAAGCAAATAATTGGTTACACACCTCCTATCTTAGACATGCTGTCAGTTAATTTGGCCAGAATCCTTCTAGGCCACCAGTTTTTACTTACTAGATAGCATAGTCTTGTGTACCGTATTTAAAAACATTTATGTTATCAGGTAAATTATCAGACTTTTAAAAAATAATTTGCATGCGTGCCAGCACATACTTAAACTAGGACTTCCTATATATGCAGACAACTGTAGATGCCTGTGTAGACAAAATACACAGAATCTAGATTTCAGATTTACTGAACTGTTTGGGGACTTTAAATTGTGTGCATTAAGTACTAAAGTACTGGGTATTTATTTCCTGCACGTGGTAAGAAACGCAGAGCTCAAGCTGCTGTCCAGGGAAGTTCTAGTGTGCTGCCCAGAGGCAGCACTATTTGCAAGAACTTGGCCCTTAAGTAATGGTCTGGAAATCAGTACACAATCTTGAAATAAAGTTATTGATAAAAACAGTGAAATTATATTTGCAAGTAAAAGCTAACATGTAAAGACCAAAGCTTTGGAAGTCTTTGCTGAATTTTATGCTGCAAAATTAAGCCATTCATTCAGATAATAGCAGGCATAGCTATCCTATTTATACTTTTCCAAATAGAGTTTACGTCTGAGTTTTTAGAAACACACTCTTTAGCCTGGTATAGCACAAGCAGTTGCTGTATAAGTAGCTCACATGCCTTTACCTTAGCATATCAAACCAGACTGGTAACACTTTTCTTTTTTAGCCCTCTTGTTAGCAAAAAGCTGCCAATTCTTTGTGACATCCATAAATGGATATTAAGAAAATACCAGCTCTAAAGTTTACTAAAGGAAGGATTGAATCTCTCTCTCAGTTCATTCTTTTCTATCCTTGATTCTGTTGTCTGTTCTTAACACATTTTAAACCAATCCAAACTTCATATCATATATAGATCATAAAAATCATAAGAACATTGCATAATATCTTGTTGAAGGAGAAAATCTTTGGCATTCCTTACCTTATACCACAGAATTTCAGGCTCCCTAAATGGAAATAAAAAATCCTCAATTTCAGGGCATGAGATTTCCTTGCTTTTGCTAAGTTCAGCTTTTTCAAAATATTTCATCTTTGAATTGTAGCAGAGTCCAGTGTCATTTTCACCCACCGTCAGCGAAATGGACACTTTCATACAGTAAGTTGAGTTTCTGTAATGCAATAAAAATAGAAATAAAAGTCCAATATGAAAAAAATAATAAATGCCAATGTACATGACATTGTTTTTAAGTCATTATTTTCATTCACAAGCAAAAGACAGAAAATCAGACACTGTATTTTGTGTGTATTTTATAGCTGCTCATAATTTTACTTCTTTCTCAGCCACTAACTACAATATTTAGAAGGTGTTGGTCGGCCTTACTCTACAACTACAGCTTTCTCTCTCCTTTTCGTCAACCCCCTCCTAACATTATTGTCCTTACTGTGTATTTGAGAACAATTTCCCCAAAAGTAAATATGCAATAAAAGCTCCATGTACTTATCAGTGAAATTAGACAACCAACATCCTGACAGACACCATTCCGACAGCTCTCGGGGGCGAACAGATCACGTTGTGGTACCACGGGCAAATGCCAAATCCGAACTCGAGCACCACACCAAGAGCCACCTATTCATCAGATGTGAGCGTGCTTTAAAGTGGAAGTGGAAACTTTTTTGCAGCCTTTAATTAAAATGAATCTTGTGACCCTTCCAATTACAGAAAAAAAGGATGCTTTAACCTAATGGACTGCTAACTTGTTTACCTTAGCCTTCAGTCCCCATACTCCCAGGCCAAAATGTTGCTTCTGCATTTCCTACAGCCTTCATTAGTTTGGGCTCTCTCCTGAAACTTGTGACTTCTTCTGCTGCTGGATGTTGATATGCCAGGCAGCCAGAGATGAGGGACCATTGCCTGCCTTCCCACATTTCACTATGCACTTTAATTAGGCTCAAAGACAAAATTACTTGAAATGACCCCCCCCCCCCGTTTGAGTTTCCAGGTGGGCAGCAAATGAGTGTGTAAAGTTGAGTTCTCCCCAGGAACACACTGCGACAATGCAAGATTTCTCTCCTACTGTTTTGTAAATGCATTTGACCCCTGATCTGCTGAAAGAGGATCCTGCAGAGAGCACTGAGGAAACATTCATTTTCTTGTTTCCATTCTCAAACTCTATGAGCTGATTGCTGATTTACAACACTCTCATGTGTATTGGACATGGCAGAATATCAAAGATGGCTACATTTTCTCATTCTCTTTAGATTTCTTAATATCTGTTTCTTTTTCTGTTCAAGAAGAGGGGACAGAAATGCCTAAGGACAAAGAATACGAGGAATTTCATTCAAAGAACTCTATAGCCCCATTTTCTAGAGAAAATGTGAACCTGAAAAGGAAGATATATAAGTAACTATCAAATCAGAGAATATTCTTAGAAATGTAAAATCTGGAACAGAATGACCCTTAGCTATCCAGCTAATTCATGGACTTGTAAGGAAAACAAACACAAAATTAGTCCCTTATAATGAAGCTGTAAGTATAATTTATTACCCCATTCAAGAATCTGGCAGCATAAAGCAAATAAAGTTGTTTAAACTTTATGCAAAGCAAAGAATGCATCCACTGAATATGGATCATTCTTGCTCCTTTTAAGCTGTTTAAGAACCGATCACCATTCTTACCTGTACATGTAATTTAAAAGCATTCAGTATTTTAAAGAACACATTTTATTACTGTATATTATGTTATTCCTCCATTAAAGTGCTACTTGGAATACTTATTTATTATGTGCTTGAAAACATCATAAGAAGTCATCCAAGCTAGTTTTTCCAAATTAGTAAAATAATCTTTCTCTGTTCTTGAAAGACTTATCCCTTGGAAATAGGAAGACGGTCTAAACAAACCATCAAGCTCTGGGGGTCAAGAGTACAATAACTAGATGAGAGGATTCCATTACTGGATGACAGAGAGCAATACATAGGAAGGTATTAGTTATTTAATTTGCACATTTAAATGTACTCTTTTATTCCTTTCCATGTGTTTGAGCATTATGTTGTGTTCATGTTACTGAATCTCATGATTTAAAAATTTCTAGAAGGAGCTGCGATGGAAAAAAAAACCCAACAAACAAAAAACCCACTTAACTGTCATCCCATTCTCTGAGGAAGCAAGCTAAGTAAAATTTTCATATATGTTTTTTTGTCTTCCTTCAGTTTTCAGAGTGAATTGGCCAAAAAATCTGATTTATGTTTTGGTCTACTAAGAGCTCTGTTCTGCAACAGTGGTAATGTCAATTGCCAGAGCCAGAATTCCTTCTGAGGCACATCCAAGTTTCCATCGCAACAGCGGATCCCTTACCAGATGCAGCTTAGGCTTCCTGCTCTGTAAGAAGAGAGGTATTTTGGAAATTTCTCAGAATGTTTAAACCCATTGTTTGAAGAGGATGTTGGTATTTAATGACTCAAAGTTGTGTGTGTCTATGATTTGAGTCATATGGATATAAGCCTCCTGCAGACAGAAGCACAAATTGGCTGAGCTTTGAGGTAATTATGCTCTAAACTGTCAGCTATAAGGTACTGAAACATTTTGGGTGGATATTTTGCCAGCTGAGTTCCCTAACAGAATTTTCTCTCAAAAGCCCAAAGTATCATCAAAAGAACTTAAAGCTCCAGGTGCCCCCCGGTGACACAGACTTTCTTATTGTGACTCTAAATACTAACTGCACTGTCAACCTGACTCACCTGGTACTCTGTGTCAGAAACCAAGGCTGTTGGGATGAAACAAAACTCAAAAAGAATGATACAAAAGGTAGAGCAACGCAAACAGTATGAGCAAAGGAAACCAAGCTAATGGGCTCACAGAACAGAAAAAGAGAAAGAAAATTAAGCAGTCCCTAGGTGGGAATGAAGAAGGAGGGGGTGAAATTGCTAATTACAACTGGAGCATGGTGGAAACAGTAGATGTGGAGCCCCTCAGCTAGCAGAAAAAGTAGCAGGCAGCAGAGCCCTCCAGCAAGCATGCATACACTGCAGAGGCTAAAAAATGTTCGTGTGCTAGAACTAAGAAAATTTTCCATATGTCTCTTACTGGAAGCACCAGATCAAACAAACAAATAAACCAACAAAAAAAATACGTTGTGAATTTAAGGAAATTTTATAAACCAATGGAAACCCAATGTTACATTCATTATTAAGAACAAATGCTACAAACAGTTTTTCTCCTTTTGCTCTCCAGCATGGTCCAAACTGTGGATCTTTATCACCAGGCAGCTACACTTCAAAGCAGTACAAGTCTAAAAACTCAAATCTGCAACAGCTATTCAGGTAATTAAAATCACACAGGTTACGAATACATTGTAGAGGGCGTACTAGAACTCCCTGTATTTCCTCATTCTTGCCCGCAAGACTAAGTTGCTTATTAGGACTAGGAAAATATTCATCCACCTGCTACCACTGATGAATAAAAACTATTTCATATGGTATGACAGAGGGTGCCCCATTGTTTGACATGGACCCATGCGGTCATCTTCACCCTAACATGTCATTTATACACTACTAGTCTATAAGTAAAACCAATATAGCAACCATATCTACTAAATATATTGATTCCATTACAGGTCTTTTACATTTGTAGCCATTTATCATCCTTAAAATTTTAAAGCCCAGTAGCACCAATGGATGTGTGATTGAATCCTGTGATAACGATAGGACAGAAAACTGTATAAATGGCTTAAATTCTCCGTGACTCCTATATCCCAGGAGTAGTTGCTCTAATGCCCAGCTTTCCACAGTTCCCTTGCATCAATGGTTCACCTTTTCTTATCTAATATTATTTAACCTCTTGGTTGTACAGTAGCCATGTGAAAGCATATAGAGCACCGATTAACATGAGTTTGTTTAAATAAGAACAGAAGACTTCTGCTTTTTACCCTTTTCTCTGCTTGAAATGACATCCACCTCACCAGTTCATCAGTACCTGTATCACCTTAATGTTAGCTGATCTGCAACTGTCACAGATGTACATTCATATATAGGATATCTGTCAGATGAGATACCTCAATATTCACACCCTGTGCTAGAGAAGTGTGACAGAGAGAAGAGCGGAAAAGCTCTACATAGAAAACTAAAAGAAGGCGGTTAAGTTTGCAGAAGAGCATGAAGTATGGAAAAGTCTTGTAAAGAAAACAACAGTACAGCTGAGTAAAGAGGAAATCTTGATGAAAAGCAGGAAAATGTAGGTTAAACAACCACAAATACAGCCACATTACAAAGTCTCTTAATTCTCCAGACAGTGACCCAGAAGTCAACACCCTGAAGATGCTGCTTAATTCATGACCCAAGTTAGTAGTTTCTAAAATAAGATCAATTTTTATTTACAGTCTTCTGAGAATCTCAATTACTATATACAGCTATATTTTCCTTGAATTAAATGCAATTATAGCAATTTGTAATAGACGGGCCTCTGCAATCCTTCACTCTTACGACTAAATTAATTAGGTAGACTGCATGTCAAAAAACTTAGCACTGCAATTAACTACTTCTACAAAACAAAACTTGAAATAATTATTAGCCATTGAAACTGTTTTATGACTATCACACATTCATCAGCTCAAGGAATTGCAGTACTTGTTGCTATTTTAAAACTTCATTTTTCATATTATGCAATTATAAATTAAAGTGAGCCAGTGGAGTAAAGCTTTTCATCTACCTACATAAGCTATGCTTTAGCATCAGTGTAATTATCAACAATAACATTATCAAAAGGTTTTCTTCAAGTGAGCTTCTGAGCTGAAGAACCTCCTGACATTTTGAAGAAAAATATTTCTTTTCCTTTCTCTGTTCCTTTTCTCTGCTTGAACTGACATCCACTTTGGGATGCTGTTTCTTTGAGATGCAGGCTGGAAAATACACATATGCATTTTATGTTTTTTTTTCTTAATTGAAAAGAAGTTGGCCAAAGTAGAAAAAAAACAACAGAATGCATCTTGCATTTTAGGTATGTAGTCTAGAAGCATGGCCCACCTTATTCGTGTGGATCTCTACACAAAGGAAAAAAAAAGACAACTAAAAAACACCTACAGGAAAGTCTGTGTGGCAAAGTGTGGGACTGTCCTGCTACAGTATCATCTGGCTCTGTTGCTGCTCATGTCTAGCAAAACAAAGACTTTTGTGAAGT